GTGCGCACCGCGGCCAAGGTCGCGGACCTGCTCGTCCAGAACGACGCGGCCGCGCAGTTCCTCGCGCGCGGCGCGCGCGGCCTCCTGTGCCGAAACCAAATCTTCAACCCGACTTCAATGTGAGCGTATTCGAATGTTTTGACACAAGCTCTTCGGCTGGGCTTCGAGAACTCGACGAGAGCGATCGATCCGTCCAAAAATCAGCCGAATCGACTTCGATTTGACCGAGCTAGAGAATTCTCAAGTTTGGTGGGGACCCCCCAAACCAGTGGTTGGTTTCGGCACAGGCGGCCTCTTCGACGCCGTGCTCTGCCCGCGCTGCGCCGCGGCGCACTGGGCGCGGGCGCTCGTCGCCCTCGGCGCCCGCTTCGGCGTCGGCGACGCCCGGGCCGCGCGCGCGGCGCTCCGCGGCCTCGGCGCGCCGCTGACGCCGTTCGTCGCGTGTAGTGCTCGGGCGAGGCGATCGCCTCATGGCGCACGCACGCACGTGGCGACGGAGGAGGTCTGAGCCTTCGAGCCTGAGAGCCTCCGGAGGCGTCTCCGGCTGCGGAGCTTCGCCAAGTGCGATTTTACCTCAGTGTCGCCTCAATGGGTCGCGACGCGCGTAGGTGAAGTCGACCCCGCACAATTTCTCCACAACGATAACTCGCCCCTCCAACGAAATCGACGATGGAACGCCACACCAAAGTCATCATCGCACTGATGTTCGTCGCCTGGTTCTTGATCACCGCGTCGACGGTCATCCATCAAGAGATTCATTCCGAAATGCGGGAACACCTCCAGCATTCGCTCCACAAACAGGAGCACCGTTTATCGGACGCGTTCCAGGAGCTCCGCCGCGACGAGCACGTGCTCGAGGAGAAGTTCGAGGAGGCGCGCGAGTTCGTCGAGAACAAGTTGGAGGACACCGCGGGACAGGCGGTCCTCGCGCTCGCGGAGCTCGAGTGGGAGGTGGACGCGCGCGTCGTCGACACGTCCGCGAAGGACCTGGCCGCCGAGGCGGCGCGCGGCGGCGCGCGACCCGGCGTCGCCGGCGCCGAACCCGCCGTCGCCGCCGCGAAGCCCGTCGTCGCGCGCGAACCGTTCGTCGCGGACCCGCGGCGCCCATCTCCGACGAAGAAAGCGTCCCTGCGCGGCGCGACGAAACTGCCGAAGGACTACGCGGCCCTCGCGGCGCGGAACGTGCTCGCGTCGGCGCCGCGGCTTCGAAGGGCGGTACACTGGTAACTTGGCCGATGGAAAATTACGAGGGGGCGTATGTGCAAACAACGTGGAGAGCCAACTCTCACGCCTTCGGGGGCGCGCCGGTCTCCCAGAACTTGGGGAAGGAGATCGCGAGGCCGAAGCTGGGGAGGTCGAAGGGCGCGTCGAGGAGGAACTTGGCCTTGACGCGCGAGACGCGGTAGCGCGCGACCATGATGTCGAGGGGCGAGACGCCGCGGTTGTCGCACTCGTGGAGCAGGGGCCGCGCGTGGTTCGTCGGCTTGGCGTCCGCCGCGCGCGTGTCGCAGCGGACGAGGTGGTCGAGGAACGCGTCGGCTCCGAGCCGCGCGGCCGAGTGCGCGGGCGTCGCGCCCGTCTTGTCGCGGGCCCGCACGGAGGACCCGGCGTCGACGAGGGCCGAGACGACGTCGAAGGAGCCCGGGCTCGCCCAGTCGCGGTGCGCGGACAGCGCGGACCAGTGGAGCGGCGACCGGCCGAGCGAGTCGCGCGCGTCGCGGATCTGGTCCGGCGCCGCCGCGCAGAGCAGGCGGATCGTGTCGACGCGCGCGAAGGCCGACGCGTAGTGGGCCGCCGTCGCGCCGCGCCGCGCGTCCGCGCGCGCGACGTCCGCGCCCGCGGTCAAGAGCGCGCGCGCCGCCGCGGCGTTGCCCGCGAGCGCGGCCAAGTGGAGCGCGGACCGGCCGAGCTTGTCCGGCGCGTCGAGGTCCGCGCCCCGGGCGATGAGCACGCGCAGCAACTCCGCGGCCTTGGGGTCCCGCATGCGCGCGGCGACGAGCAGCGGCGTCAGGCCGTCCGCGTTCCGCGCGTCGAGCGCCGAGGCGTCAAAATTCTCCGAGCCGACGAGCGCGGCGAGGCCCTCGACGTCCCGCGCCTCGACGAGCTGCAGCAGGTCCGGCGCCGCGTCCCGCGCCACCGGGGCGCCCGCGCCGGCGCTCCCGGCGGGCTCCTTGTAGGCCTCGAGCGCCGGCGGGGCTTTGGGCGTCGGCTTCTTGTGCGCCGGGGCGGGGCCCAGCGACGCGTCGTCGCAGCGCAAAGGCCGGGACCCGGCGGCGCAGGCCGCGAGGGCGCCGGCGCGGGCGGCGCGGCGGCCGATGCGGGCGAACATCCTCACCGCGGCGTCCACGTCCGACTCACGCACCAAAGCTGAGACGGTGTGTTGCGGCAGCATCAGCCGTTGAAGCGTGTTGCGGCAGCATCAGCCGTTGAAGCAGACATCAACACGAAGCAGCCCATCGATGGGCCTCGCGTACTAGTAATCGTCGCGCGCGCATCGAAAGAGATGATGGACGCCCAGGACTGGCTCGAGGACTACGAGCGCGTGAAGAAGTCGACGTCGTCGACGCCGGCGCGCCAGGCGAACCTGCGCGCGCTCCACGAGTCCCTGAGCCGCATGGAGGAGGACCCGCGGAGCTACGACCTGCGCCGTCGCCGCGTCCCGCGGACCGTACCAATAGATGAAACCGCAATCAAACGTGCTAGGTCCAAGGCCGAGGCGCGGCGGCGGCGGCGCCTGCTCGACGCGCTCCGCTTCGCGCCGGGGGCCGAGAGCCCGACGGCGCACGCGACGCGCGCGACGGAGAGCCGCATCGAGGAGCAGGAGGCGCTGATGCGCAAGCAGGATTCGGCCATCAGCGAGATCCGCATGGGCGTCGAGGCCGTCCACGACCTGTCGTACCAGCTGCGCGACGAGACGCACCTCCACGTCGGGCTGCTCGACGACGTCAACAGCGACGTCGAGGACGCGCACGCGGGGCTGCGCCAGGAGACGCGCGCGGCGGAGACGTTCGGGAAGCGGAGCGGCGAGTGCCCGCTCTACGTGACCATCGTCGCGAACGCGGCCGTCATCGTCGCCCTGCTCGTCTACGGGCTCCGGGACTAGGCGTCGCTAAGGCGTCGGAAAGAGACGGTCCTACCGACGCCTCAGAGGTCCTCGGCGTCGACCTGGGGCGTCGCGGGCGTGATCGCGCCGCCGTCGTCCTCGACGGCGCCGCCCTCGTCCTCGACGGCGAACTCGTCGAAGTTCGGGTCCGGGTCGACGGCGACGGCGCCGTCCGCGGCGTCCGTCGCGAGGCCCTCCCAGGAGCGGTCGTCGACGGGCTTCTTGGACACGGCGCGGAGGAGCGACTCGTAGCGGCAGCGGAGCCAGGCCTTGTTCGCGCGGTAGCGGTAGTGGGGCCCGGCCTTGTAGAAGGAGTGGTAGGCCACCGCGTAGAGCATGGACGCGCGCTCGTGGTCGCCCAAAAAGCCGTGGATCTCCGCGGCCGCGAGCGCGCTGCTCCCGCAGGCCGGGTGGCCCGGGCCGAAGCGCGCCTCGCGGATCGCGCGCGCGGCGTCGTAGAGCGCGGCGGCCTCGCGGTGCTCGCCCTCGGCCAAATGGACGACCGCGAGCTGCGTCTGGCACGTCGCCACCGCCGGGTGCGACGGGCCGAGCGTCGCGAGGCGGATCGCGAGCACGGCCTTGAAGTCGGCGAGCGCGCCGCCGTCGTCGCCGCTCCGGTGCTTCGCGCGGCCGCGGCACCAGAGCGTGTTCGCCACGTCCGGGTGGTCCGGCCCGTGCACGCCTGCGCGGACGTCGAGCGCCTTCGTGTACGCGCGGACGGCCGACTCGTGGTGCCCCGACGCGGCCTCGGCCGTCGCCGCGCGCTCGTGGAGCGCGGACCCGGCGACGGCCGTGCCCTCGTCGCCCCCGAGAGCCTCGGCGACGGCGAGGGCGTCGTTGTAGCAGTCCCGCGCGGCGCCGAAGTGGCCGACGACGCGGTGCACCGTGCCGAGGTTGAAGAGCGTCGGCGGTAATGCTAAATCCGCGACGCGGCGCCGCTCGATGAGCGCCGCGACGGTCAGGCCCCCCGCCGCGGGCGTCGCGGCGCTGACGACGGCGCCCAAACCGCCCGTCGGCGTCGTCGGCGGCGCGGGCGACCCGGGCGACGCGGGCGCGCGGAGCCCGCGCGACGACGACGACCGGCGCTGCGCGGCCTTGAGCGCCGCGTGGGCCGCGTCGGCGTCGTCGCGCTTCACGGCGAGGGCTACGCCGTGGGCCTCGAGCGCCGCGCGGGGGCGGCCGCTCTTGAGGAGCGCGTTGCCTAAGCCCGTCACCGACGGCGCGAGCCCCGACGACCACGCCTCGCCCTCGTGCGCGAGGTCCGACGGGTCGAAGCCCCGGCGCCGCATGGCCACGCGGCCCCGCAACGCCACGAGGCGCACGTCCAAGGCCAGGTCCAGCAGCAGCGGCGACTCCGACGTCGACGTGCCGAGCGCCTTCTCGAGCGTCGCCGCGAACGACTCCAGCACGCGCGCGGCGCCCCGGCGCAGCGAGTGGCCGAGCTCGCTCTTGCCCAGCACGGGCGTCGCCGACGCGGCGAGGGCGGCGCCGGGCGGCGCCCCCGGCGCGTCGCCCTCGCCGCCGCCGACGAGCCGCCGCCGGTCGCCGCGGTCGAGGCCGAGCGCGCCGCGCATGCCGTAGGACCGGAAGATCACGCGGAGCCGCTCGCGCATGTCGTAGTCGTCGAGGCCCCGGGCCACGTCCAGCGCGTGAGGGTCGAAGCTGTCCAGCGCCGACGCGCCGACCTCGACGGCCGCGCGCGACGCGCACGGGCGGGCGCAGCGGTGGTACCTGTGTGGAATTCAAATCTTCAACCCGACTTCAATGTGAGCGTATTCGACAGTCGCGACGCAAGCTCTTTGGCTGTGCTTTGAGAACTCGACGAGAGCAATCGATTCGTCCAAAAATCAGCCGAATCGACTTCGATTTGATCGAGCTAGAGAATTCTGAAGTTTGGTCAGGACCACCCAAACCAGTGGTTGAATTCCACGCAGCGGTGGTACCACTTGCCCCGCCGGTCGCCGAAGCGGTCGGAGGTCGTGCGCCCGGAGAAGACCTCGAAGGACTCCTGGTTCGACGACCCGTCGACGGCGGCGAGGGGCACGAAGTGGCCCACGCTGCAGAGGCCCACGTCGACGCACCGGCCCTCGGCGGCGAGGTACGCGCGGAGGTCCTCGGACGCGCCCCGCCCCAGGGCCCGCATCTCGTCCTTGCCGTGGCTCTCGTCCGTCATCTTCACCATGGCCCGCAGCGACCGGTCGACGTCGCGCGTCAGCGCGCGCCAGCCCGCCTCGAAGGACGCCTTGCGGCCCGCGGCGTCGCCGCGGCCGCCGCGGGGCTTCGCGCGCGCGTAGGCCGCGTCGAGCTTCGCCGCGCCCTCCGCGAGCACGTCGCGCGCGTGCTGCAGCACCATGGCGAAGGTGTGCCAGGGGCTCGACGTCCCCGCGACCATCTCCTCCTGCTCGACGGCGCTCAGCGTGTCGAGGACGCCGTCGTCGCCGCCCATGGGGTTCGCGCCGCCGACGCCGTCCGGCGACCCGTAGACGCGGTCGTAGAACGACGACTCGTACTCGTAGCCCGTCTCGTGCGGCGGCCGCGACCCCATGGGGTTGGCCATGCCGAGGTGCGCGTGTTTCTCTTCGTACGCGTCGCCGTAGTCCGTCGGGTCGTCCTCGACGCGCTTCTTCCGGTGGGCCGCGCCGAAGGGGTTCTCGCCGCCGACGGCGCCGTCGTCGTCCTTCGTATCGTAGGCGTCGCCGTAGTCCAACGGGTCGTCCCGGACCTGCTTCTTCCGGTGCGCGGCCCCGAAGGGGTTCTCGCCGCCGACGGCGCCGTCGTCTTTATCGTAGGCGTCGCCGTAATCCAACGGGTCGTCCCGGACCTGCTTCTTCCGGTGCGCGGCCCCGAAGGGGTTCTCGCCGCCGACGACGGCGTCGTCTTTATCGTAGGCGTCGCCGTAGTCCAACGGGTCGTCGCGGACCTGCTTCTTCCGGTGCGCGGCCCCGAAGGGGTTCTCGCCGCCGACCGCGCCGTCGTCTTTATCGTAGGCGTCCTCGAGGTTCAGCTCCGTCGTGAACTCCTTGCGGTCCTTGCCATGGTAGGGGCTCCCGACGAGCGACGTGCGAATCAGCTTCAGCGTCAGCTTCTCCGCGGGGCTGTGGTCCTTGGCCATGGGGTTGGCCCCGGCGACGCCGCCGTCGCCCTCGCCGTAGACGTCGGCCGTCGCCACGTGGACGTCCTGCTTCTGGAGCGTCGTGCTCTTCCGGACCTTGTGCCGCTGCTTGCCGAGGCGCATCGCGACGGAGTCGGCCTTGCTGTTGTGGAAGTCCGTCCCGCGGCGCGGCGGCACGGCGCTCTCCTTGCGCTGGTCGTGCGTCGCCGCGAAGGGGTTCGCCGTCATCGCGACGTCGCCGTCCGTCGCGTAGGCGCCGCCGAAGTCCGTCGGGTCGTCCTGCTCTTTTTTTTTGCGGTGCGCGGCGCCGAAGGGGTTCTCGCCGCCGACCGCGCCGTCGTCTTTATCGTAGGTGTCCCCGAAGTCCGTCGGGTCGTCCTTCACCTTCTTCTTGCGGTGCGCGGCGCCGAAGGGGTTCTCGCCGCCGACGGCGGCGTCGTCTTTCTCGTACGCGTCCCCAAAGTCCGTCGGGTCGTCGTCGACGGTCTTCTTCCGGTGCGCCGCCCCGAAGGGGTTGGCCGTCATGTGCGCCGCGGGCGACGCCGGGTCGCGGGACCCGTAGACGCCGTCCGCGGTGAGCTCCGGGCCGCCGGCGTCCGCGGCCTGCTGGCGCAGCGAGAACGGGTTGTTCGCGAACGTCGCGGGGCTCAGCGGCTCGTCGTCGACGTCGGCGGAGTGGGACTCGCGGCGCTTCGGCGGCGGCGCCTTCTTCGCGGAGGCGAAGGGGTTCCAGGAGCGGGGCTCGTCCGGCGCCCGCTTCTTCTCGTAGACGGCGTCGAAGTCGTCGAGGAGCGCGGACGCGGACGGCTCCCGCGCGACGAGGTGGCTCGAGTTCGGGTTCGACGTCATGACGACGTCGTCGTCGCCCGGCGCCGGTGGCCGGGGCTTGCTCGCGAAGGGGCTCCAGGCGCTCGCGGCCGGCGGCGGCGGCGCCGCGGCGCCGCCGCCTCCGTAGACCGCGCCGAAGTCGTCGAGCACCGCGGACGTCGACGGCTCGCGGGCCATCTGCTGGACGTGGTGCGCGTTGTAGGGGTTCGCCACCATGCTCACGGGCGACGTCGGCGTCGCCGGTTCTTCGTGCCGCGTCGCCTTGGCCCCGGAGAACGGGTTCCAGGAGGACGCCGGCGGCGCGGCCTTCTTCTTGTCGTAGACGGAGAAGTCGTCGCCGGCGTCGTAGAGCGGGTGCTCGGCCTCGGTCATCGTCGCTCCTAGCCGCCCATGTCCGGCCCGGCCGGCGGCGGCGCAGGGCTGCTCTCTTGGCAGCCAGGGAGTTGGGGAGCCGCGGAAGCAATCAGGGCAGCTCGACGGCACCATGAAACGCGCATCAGGGTGCTTGCAGAGCATCTTGAACACACGAGTCCCTGCACCTGCGCTGACGAGATGATCGCACTGCGTGCTCTAGCTATTGCGCTCGTCGGCGTCGCGCTCGTCGGAGATGCGCTCGACACGGCGACGACAACGCGTCGATCCGCGGCGTCCTTTCCATTGGCGCTGCAGCTGGAATCGGCTTTCGTCGATGGAGGAGCTCGAGTTGCATCTTGAGGTCTGCATCGCCGCGCGCCGCGCCGCTCGCATTCGTACGCACCGTCCGCGCGCCGCTCCGCAGGTCGCGTCGCGCTGCGCCGCGGCGCCGCCGCCGCCGCGACCGCCGCCGCCGCGCGCGCGCTGCCGGCGGCGGCCGCGGGCGGCGCGGCCGTCGCCGTCGACCGCGTGTCGCTCGGCCCGACGATCAGCAACGGCAAGGCGGGCAAGAACTACGCGCTCTACGAGGACACGATCAACGGCCCCCGCGGCAGCCGCAAGGTCGTCAACATCGCCTTCGAGTACCCGCGGCTGTGGAGCTCGCTGAAGACAGGGCAGGAAAAGGGTGATTCAATGTCGCTTCAATGTGAGTGTTTCGCGCTCGCGCGTTCTAGAAAAAACATCCACGCTTCGAGACCGTTCCGAAAGATGATCGCTCGTCCAAAAATCAGCCGAAACGAGTGGAAAACGGCCGAGATCGGAGCCTTTGAAATTGAGAATTTCGCACCCTTTTCCTGCCCAGGCTGAAGAACAGCGTCGACCTCATCGACGGAAAGACGGGCACGGTCGCGACGGTCGTCGCGGCGCCGCTGCCCGACGCGGCGGCCCTCGACTCCAAGGCCTTTTACGCCTGCATCTTCTCGCCCGACGGCAAGATCCAGCGCGCGGGCACGCCGGTCGACGAGTTCAAGATCCTCGGCGTCCGCGACGGCGCCGGCGGCGCGCGCGAGGTCGACATCAAGTTCACGGCCGTGTCGCCGAACAGCCGCCTCATCGACCGGCGCGCCGTCGCGACGGCGACGGCCGTCGGCGACACGGCCTACATCTTCGTCGTCTCCGCGGCCGCGGTCAAGTGGAAGGAGGAGCGGGACACGGTCGAGACCGTCGCGCGGACGTTCAAGGCGTCGTTCTAGGGGGGCGTAAGGGATCCTTCGTGTCGATGGATGGACGTGCTCGCCGCGGCGCGGTCGGCGACGCCTCCGGGCGCTTGGAGCCCGCTTGGCCGGGGGTCGCTCGAGCGCCAAAAAACAGAGGAGCCTGCTCGAGGTGGTCCACCTGGCCGCGCCGCGCCGCCCGTCGCTTGAGTCGACGAGATGGGCGGGGACGACAACGAGTACGACTACTTGTTCAAGGTCGTGCTCATCGGCGACAGCGGGGTCGGCAAGTCGAACCTCCTGAGCCGGTTCACGCGCAACGAGTTCTCGCTGGACAGCAAGTCGACGATCGGCGTCGAGTTCGCGACCAAGTCCATCGTCGCCGAGGGGAAGACGATCAAGGCGCAGATCTGGGACACGGCGGGCCAGGAGCGGTACCGCGCGATCACGTCGGCCTACTACCGCGGCGCCGTCGGCGCGCTCCTCGTCTACGACCTCACCAAGCACGCGACGTTCGAGAACGTCGAGCGCTGGCTCAAGGAGCTCAGGGACCACGCCGAGGCGAACATCGTCGTCATGCTCGTCGGCAACAAGAGCGACCTCAAGCCCCAGCGCGCCGTGCCCACGGAGGAGGCCATGGCCATGGCCGAGCAGCACAACCTCGCCTTCATCGAGACGTCGGCGCTCGACGCGTCGGGCGTCGACATCGCCTTCCAGAACATCCTCACGGAGATCTACCGCCTCATGAACAAGAAGCAGCTCGCTTCCGAGGGCGCGCAGAAGGCGACGGTCTCCGCGGGCGAGAAGATCTCCCTCGGCGGCGGCGACGCGGAGGGCGCCAAGAAAAAGAAGTGCGGATGCAACTAGGGCCCGCCGGCGTAACTACGTTTGCTCCCGCGCGGCGCGCCTCCTCCGAGCGACGTCCGCGGGTCGCGCGCTTGGGTCGCGCGGCGATCGCGGCGATCGGCGTCCCCCGCGCGCGCGTCGACGCGGCTCGACGCGACCTCGGCGGTGCGCGGGCCATGCACGACGCTTGCGCGAGGCACGTCGCGCGCTCGCGAGCGGCCGAGGCGCTCCAGTCCGCGGCCGCGGGCGGGCTCGCACACGCCTCGCCGAGTTTGGCTATGATTTTATGAAGTGGCAATGGCTTGGGCTGTGGTAGCTCCGAGCTCGCAACCTTAGTGATGGCGTCGCAGATCATGCTCGACGTCGCGTCCAAGTTCTCGCGGAGCGGCGAGTCGCCGCGCGAGTCGCCGCGGTCGTCGCGGCCCCGCTCCGGGTCGCTGTCGACGGTGCAGGCCGACGCCTGGCGGACGCGCGACGAGCGGCTGCGCTGCATCGCGGCGAGCTGGACGGCGCGCGTCGAGGCCGAGGTCGCGGCGGTCGCGGCGCGCGGCGGCGGCGGCGCGCCGCGCATCGCGCGCGGCGCGTGGCCCGGCGACTGGCCGAGCCGCGCGGCGCGGCCCGCGGCGGCGGCGGCGTCGCGCGCCGCGGCGGCGGCGGCGCCGCCGGCGCCGTCGCCGCGCGGTCCGCCCGAGGCCCGCGCCGTGCCCAACGGCCGCGCCTGCGGCCTGCGGGACTACTGCGCGTCCGTCGTCGCCGCGGCGCCGCGCGACTACGCGGGCCCGTTCTACGTCGTCGACGTGGGCGCGGCCGAGCGGCTCTACGACGCCTGGGCGGCGGCGCTGCCCCGCGTGCGGCCCCACTACGCCGTCAAGTGCTTCCCCGACGCGGGCCTCTGCCGCGCGCTCGCGGCGAAGGGCTGCGGCTTCGACTGCGCGTCCGAGGCCGAGTGTAGGCTCGTCTTCGCGTGCGGCGCGACGCCGCGCGACGTCGTCTTCGCGAACCCCTGCAAGCGGCCGAGCGACGTGAACTTCCTCGCGGCGAGCGGCGTGCCCTGGACGACCTTCGACTGCTGCGACGAGCTCGCGAAGCTCGCGGGGCTCCTCCCCGGCGCGACGCGGGCCGTGCTCCGGCTCCGCTGCGACGACCCGACGAGCCGCCTACCCTTCGGGCCCAAGTACGGCGCCCTCGAGGACGAGGTGCCCGGCCTCCTCGCCGCGGCGCGCGCGGCGGGCGTGGCCGTCGCGGGCGTGTCGTTCCACGTCGGCAGCGGCGCGCGGTCGCCCGCGGCGTTCGCCGCGGCGATCGCGGCCGCGCGGCGCGCCTTCGACGCCAACGCCGCGGCGGGCGGGGCTCCCTTCGACGTGCTCGACATCGGCGGCGGCTTCTGCGGCGGCTTCGACGCGTCGGGGACCGCGGCCGTGTCCGCGTCGGGCGACGCGACCGTCGCGGCCGCGGTCAACGCCGCGCTCGACCTGAGCTTCCCCGCGTCCGACTTCCCGGGCCTCGACGTCATCGCCGAGCCCGGCCGCTACTTCGCCGAGGCCGCCGCGTCGCTCTGCTGCCGCGTCGTCGGCGAGCGGCACCGGTCGCGCGCGGACGTCGGCGCGCCGCCGGAGCCCGAGGCGCAGTACTGGATCACCGACGGCGTCTACGGCGCCTTCAACGCCATCATCTACGACGGCTGGCTGCCCCACGCCGTCGTCGTCGACGACCCGCGGCGCGCACACGGCGCCGGCGACGCCGGCGGCCGCGGCGCCGGCGCGGCGCTCACGACCGTCTTCGGCCCGACGTGCGACTCGCTCGACGTCGTCTTCTCGCGCGTCCGAAACGCGCCGCCGCTGCGCCGCGACGACTGGCTCCTCTTCCCCTGCTGCGGCGCCTACACGAGCGCGGGCGCGGCCGACTTCAACGGCATCCCCGCGACGGCGGCCGCGGGCGTCGAGACGAGGTACGTCCGCTCCGACTCCATGCGCTGCACGGCCGACGACGACGCCCTCGGCCTCCTCTACTCCGACAAGCCGCCCATGGAGATCATACGCTACTGCGACTAACGGCGGGTATAGGGGCTCCGAGGCCTGCGGGCTCGCGCGCGGCGAGTATGCGGCGCGCCGCTTGCGGCGGTGAACCACGCGGAGCGCGACATTTCGCCGCATTCCTAGGCATTCTTTCATCTATCGATCCATGGATCTCCGGGCGCTCCTGCTCCTCGTCGGCCTGGTCGGGGTGCGCGCGGACGACGCATCGGCCTGGGACGTCAAACCTCCAGACGCCTTCTGCGTCCTTCACGGCGCTCATCTGTGCGTGGGCGACTACCACACCCACGTCAACCAGGACGAGACGACCTTCAGCGCCGTCGCGCTCGGCCGGAGCACGTTCGCGGCCCCGACGTGCGGCACCCGCGTCCCCCTCCCCCCGATCGACCCCCCGGAGACGCGTTCGCGCGCCCCCCCGCAGATTCGGCGACCTCGACTCAGACGGCGACCTCGACATGGTCGTCGGGAAGGACGAAGGCACGCAGGGCTCGCTCCAGATGTTCGAGAACGTCGGGACCGCCTACCAGCCGTCCTTCCGACGCGCCGACGCGTACGAGGGCTTCGATCTAGTCCTTTCTCTAGTGTTGAAAAACGGCAAGTACCCCCGGCCGGCGCTGGCCGACCTCGACGGCGACGACGTCCTGGACCTCGTCGTCGGCGTCGAGGACGGGACCCTGTATTTCTTCCGAGGCTTCATGGTCCCTGGGGTGGAGCTCCCGTGGTTCACCGCGGTAGTGGGCTGGGCGCCCGCGGGCGTCACCGGCGAGGAAAACGCGGCGCCGACGCTCGGCGACGTCGACGGCGACGAGGTCCAGGACCTCATCGTCGGCTACGCCGGCGCCGTGCACTTCCACAAAAACTCGGGGACCAAGAGCGCGCCGAGCTTCGACGCCGCGTCTTCGTATTCGTTCTGGGACCACGCGGACAGGTGGTACGCGCCGGCGCTCGGCGACCTCGACGGCGACGCCGTGCCCGAGCTCGTCGTCGGCATCGAGAATCCGAAGGACGCCAAGGAACTGCCGAAGATCGAGTTCGCTAGCCGCCAGAGCCTTCCGGCCGGTTACCTTATCGACGCCGGCTTCCCGGACGACCTGACCCCCGGCGCGTACCCCGCGCCGGCGCTGGCGGACCTCTTCGGGCGGGGCGCGGACCTCGCGGTCGGGAGCGAGAACGGCGACATCGAGCGCTTCATCTTCGTGCGCGGCTACGGCAATTACTACTACTACTACGCCTACGGCGACGGCCACAGATTCTTCCGCGAAACCTCGTCGGGGTCGCCCACGTCCAAGGTATCGGCAGGGGGCACGTACTCGGCGCCCGCGCTCGGCGACATCGACGGCGATGGCGACGTCGACCTCGTCGTCGGAGACGTAACGGGGCGGCTCGCCTACTTCCAGAACAACGGGACGGCCACCGAGATGCGCCTCATTTACGCCGTGGAGCTCCGCGAGTCCCTGGACTCGTGCCGCGGGCGGTCGGCGTGCGGCTGCTCGTCGAACGAGTTCTGCAACTTCGACTCCGGCTCCTACGGCACCTGCGAGTCCTGCGCGTCCTTCTCCTCCCGGGAGGCGTGCGGCGAGGACGGCCTCCCGTCGGACGGCGAGGACGACTGCGTCGCGTGCTGCTTCGAAGCTGGTGCGATCGAGATCCCGTGGTTCGAGTCCGGGCCCTTTGCCTACGATTCCAATCACTACATGTACATCGAGAGCAAGCCGCTCCTCGTCGACCTCGATAACGACGCCGATCTCGACCTCGTCGTCGGATTCACCATGTACAACGAGTGCTTCGACGACGAAGCCGATTTCGTGGCGCCCGATGGGACGACCCTCTGGGGCCGCGGCAACGGGTGGTGCTCCTCGGACCTCGACGAGTACGTCGGCCAGGCCTGCACGCCGGCCGAGTGCTGGGACCTCTGCGTCGACGCCTACGGCGCCGAGTCGATCTTCGCCATCGAGCTCAACGGCATCGGCGGCAGCTGTTACTGCCAGAGCTCGTGCGACTGCATCGAGGGCGGAGGGTGGGATCAGTACCTCATCACGCGCGACACGCTCGAAAGCCTCCCCAACGAATGCGGCACAGGCACGTGCACAGAGTCTGGGACCGCCTGCCAGGCCGTGTGGACATATGAGGGTCTTTCCGATTGCATAGACATCTCGGGCTGCGCGCCGACCCCCTGCGACGGCGACGAATCTGGGCCGTGGTGCATGCCGGAGGGCGGCGGCGACTACGAGTGGTGCTACTGCACGCCGGGCGGCGACCGCCGGCTCGAAGAGACCGATCTCGCGGCGCTCAAGTCGGGCGGCGCGCGCCGGCTCGAAGAGGCCGATCTCGCGGCGCTCAAGTACTTCGAAAACGTCGGCAACGCCACGCACCCGTCCTTCGTCCTCGCCGCGGACGAGGTCTCGCCCTTCCGGAACATCACGTTCGCCGCCACCGGCGGGTCCACGGCGCCCGCCGCCGCGGACGTCGACGGCGACGGCGACCTCGACCTCGTCGTCGGCTCGAGCCACACCAAGCTGCACTACTTCGTCAACCGGGGCACGGCCGAGGCGCCCGTCTTCTTCCGGGAAAGCGAACCCGCGAGCGAGGACCCGTTCTCGAGCATCAGCCCGGGCGAGGACGCCGCGCCCGCGCTCGCCGACATCGACGGCGACGGCGACGTCGACCTCGTCTTCGGGAACGAGTTGGGCACCGTGGGCTACTTCACCAACACGGGCTCGTCGACGCGCCCGACCTTCGAGCTGGGCCACCAGTTCGAGTTCCGCCTCTCGATGACGATCGCGCTCGCCGACACCGACGGCGACGGCGACGTCGACCTCGTCGCGGGCGAGGCGGGCGGCGCTCTCATGTACTTTGAGAGCGTGCGCGACGTCCGGTTCTTCTCGACGGTCCCCGCGTCGGCGGACCCCGTCGCCAGCGTCGTATTCAGTCCTCCGCTGCAGCCCGACGCTGCGCCCTGCTTCGTCGACGTCGACGGCGACGGCGACCTGGACGTCCTCGTCATACAGGAGAAGGGCAGATTGACGTACCTGGAAAACACGGGCTCGGCGACGCGCCCGGTCCTGGCGGTCGCCGGGGGGCCCCATCCCTTCTCGCGCCTCGGAGTCGAAGCCGCCTGGGGCCTCGTTCGCCCGGCGTTCGCGGACCTCGACGGAGACGACGACCTCGACCTCGTCCTCGGCCTCGCGGACGCCGGTGGGTGGCGCTATTACGAAAACGAGGGCAACGCGACGCACCCGAACTTCGCCGACCCGGAGGGCTCCACGCCCTTCGCCGGCCTCGAGTACCCGGCGACCTTTTCCCCGGGCGACGTCCCCGGCGCCGTCTCCGGCGCGACCTCCCCGGCGTTCGGCGACCTCGACGGCGACCTCGACCTCGACCTCGTCGTCGGCCGCGACCTCACGAAAGACGGCGCCGGCGCCACGGGCGCGCTCTTCTACTCCATCAACGCCGGCGACCGCGCGTCGCCGAAGTTCGGCGGCCTCTCGTCGCTCGCGACCGACCTCGGGACGAGCCCCGCCCCCGCGCTCGTCGACTTCGACGGCGACGCCGACCTCGACCTCTTCGTCGGCGACGCCGGCGATCCCCCGGCGCTCCCGGCGCGGGTCGTCTACTTCGAGCGCTCGCCGGGAGCGAACGTGAGCTTCGCGGCCGGCGAGGCGACGGGCGTCACCTTCGGGTCGGGCTCGCTCCTCGTGCCCGCGCTGGGGGACCTCGACGGCGACGGCGACCCCGACCTCCTCGTCGGGGACGACCGGGGCGCGCTCTCGTTCCTCGTCCGGGGCTACTGCAGCCCCGAGGGCCCCTGCTCCAACAACGGCCTCTGCGCGGGCGCCGCGGAAACGTTCAACGAGGTCTCCTGCGAGTGCCTCGTCGGCTTCTCCGGCGACCAGTGCGACCAGTGCCAGGGCGGCTACTTCGGCCCGGCCTGCGACGTCTGCCCCGAGGGCGGCGACGAGGAGCGCTCGCGGCCGCGCATCACGGACACGTGCGGCGTCAAGAACAGCGGCCGGAGCCGCGGCACGTGCGACGACGCCGTCACGGGCTCCGGCGCCTGCGCCTGCTTCCCGCCCTTCTACGGACCCGGCTGCGAGCAGGGCGAGTGTCCCGCGGGGTCCCTCGAGGTCGCGGAGAGCAACGGCATCTTCTACTTCTCGGCCTGCGACGACTGCGCGCCCGGGACGTACTCGTCCGCGGGCGACGCCCAGTGCGCGGCGTGCGACGCGGGCAAGTACAGCGGCTCCGGCGCGAGCGCCTGCGCCGACTGCGCGCCGGGCACCTACTCCGGCGCGGGCACGGCGGCGTGCCTGCCCTGCGCCGCGCGGTCCTACGCGAAGGCCGCCGGCGCGACGAGCTGCGTCTTCGCCGAGCCCGGGTCCTTCGTCAACGAGACCGGCGCCTCGGAGCAGACCGCGTGCCCCGCGGGCACCTACTCGGGCTCCGGCGCGGCCGCCTGCAGCGACTGCGAGCCCGGCACGTACCAGGACGCGACGGGTAGGCCGAGCTGCAAGCGCGCCGACGGCGGGTCCTTCGTCGACGCGGACGGCGCCTCGGAGCAGAAGCCGTGCGCCGCGGGCACCTACTCGAGCTCCGGCGCCGAGACCTGCAGCGACTGCGAGCCCGGCCGCTACACGGACGGCGTCGGCGAGTCGAGCTGCGCCCTCGCGGACGCCGGGTTCTTCGTGCGCGAGACCGGCGCCTCGGAGCAAACCGCGTGCCCCGCGGGCTACTTCTCCGGCTCCGGCGCGAGCGAGTGCCTTCCATGCCAGCCCGGGACCTTCGCGGACGAGGGCGGCGCAGCCTCCTGCCAGCTGTCGAACGCGGGCTCCTTCGTCGCGTCGGCGGGAGCGACGGCGGAGGTCGCGTGCGCTCCGGGTCGGTATTCCGGCGCGGGCGCGAGCTACTGCGCCCTGTGTCCCGTCGGAGCGACCAACGACGGCGGCGAGGCGACGTGCACGACGGTCGACGCGGGCTCCATGGCGCCACTGCCGGTGGAGTTCCGGCTGACCATCCAGTCGTCCGTGCTCCTCGACGGCGTCGACGCGGACGCGTTCAACGCAGACGCCCCGGCCAACAAGCAGTTGACGACGGCTCTCAACGCCTCGCTGGTCGTCGACCTGTTCACCACCGTAATCATTGACAGCGCCGCGATCGTTTCCGTCGGACCCGCCGCGGCGACCGCACACGGGAGCACCGCGATCGCGTTCGACGTCGCCGTGCACTATTCAGCTTCGGCCAGCGAAAGCATCGAGTCGATGAAAGAGCTCATCCTCGAGGACTTCGACGTCGACCTTCTCGACAAGGTCAAAGACGGGACCCTCCAAAATGCCATCGACGCCGCGGTCTCGTCGAGCGCGCGATTCTTCCGGCGCTCGGCGTCGGTCTCCGCGCTGAGCGGCGCGACCGTCGTCAGCAAAGAGATCTTCGAGGCGAACGTGGCTCCCGCGACGATGGAGACGGAGCAGCTCACGGAGCAAACCTTTGAAGGGACGCTCAAGTGTCCCGCGGGCACGTCCTCGTCGAGCGGCGCGTCCGCGTGCGAAGCCTGTTCTCCTGGAAAATACACCAGGGCGGAAGGAGCGAACATCTGCGAACTAGCAAGCGCGGGCCACTTCGTGGCCGACGCCGGCGCGACCGCGGAGGAAGCGTGCGCTCCGGGCAAGATCTCGCCGGGCGGCGGTTCATCCGCGTGCTACAACTGCGAGCCCGGTGCGTATCGGGGCGAGTCGGGAGAGACCTCTTGCCAACTCTCCAAAGGCGGATTCTACGTGGAACACTCCGGCGCCTCGAGCGAGACGGCGTGTCCGGCTGGAAAGTATTCCGCCTCGGGCGCGACGTCCTGCGCGGCTTGCGAAGCCGGTCGATACTCTGAATCCGGCGCGGATACGTGTTTGCTCGCGGTTGCCGGCTACTTTTGCGCGGACGCGGGCGCCTCTGCAGAAGTGCCGTGCAAAGCCGGGAGCTACTCAGGCGCCGCGGCCTCAAAGTGCACCCCGTGCGCCGAAGGATCTTATGCTTCCAAGCAAGGATCGGCGACCTGCACGGCCGCGTCGGCGGGCAGCTTTGTCGCGAAGCCGGGCGCGACCTCAGAAGTCCGCTGCGAACCAGGAGAACGCAGCGGCGTCGGCCAGAGCAAGTGCGAGCAGTGTCAGCCCGGCACCTACGCGTCCGATGCCGGGTCTACGACGTGCGATCTCTGCGAAGCGGGCACGTTCGCCGAGGAGAGCGGCAAGAGCGCGTGCGACGAGTGCCCGGCCGGCAAATACGCGGCCGCGGCTGGATCGACGATGTGCTCGATCGCGAACGCGGGCTCCTATACGTCGAAGAAGGGCTCGAGTGAACAAGCGACTTGCAAAGCAGGGACGATCAGCGGCCCTGAGCAGAGCGAGTGTACGAAGTGTCCCGCCGGCTCCTTCGCCGCGGAGGACGGCTTGTCGTCGTGCACCCTCGCGAACGCCGGCTACGTCGTCGCCGCGGACGGCGCGTCCCGGCAGGAGCCCTGCGACGCCGGCACGATCAGCGGCGCCGGGCAAAGCTCCTGCGACAAGTGCGAGCCCGGCACCTTTGCGTCGAAGCAAGGCTCGACGACGTGCTCGCTGGCGAACGCGGGATCCTACGTGGCCGAGGAGGGCGCGACCAACCAGCAGGACTGCGCGCCCGGGACGTTCAGCAGCGGCGCCGGACAGTCGTCGTGCGACCCGAGTCCGCCCGGGTCGTACGTGCCGCGGTCGGGCGAAGTGGCCGCGGTCATCGCGGACGCGGGCTACGTCGTCGAGGAGGAGGGCGCTTCGGAGCAGACCGAGTGCCGAGCCGGTTCGTACTCGGGCGCGAAGGCCTCCGCGTGCGAGCCGTGCGAGCCCGGTCGCTACGCGAACCTCGAAGCGGCCGCCACGTGCGAAGCCGCCCCCCCGGGAACGTTCGCGTGGATCCGCGGAGCCGTCGAGCCGTCGACGTGTCCCGCGGGACGGTTCTCCGGATCCGGGGCGGTCTCCTGCGCGCTGTGTCCCGACGGGCAGACGAGCGAGGCCGGCTCGGCGACGTGCCGACCCGTCGACGCCGGGAGCACGAACGCCGAGCTGTCGACCGTCACGTTCGAGATCGAGTCCGGCCTTGTGCTCGACGGCTTGGACGTGGATCGGTTCTCGGGCGATGACGCGGCTCGTCGCGCGTTCGCGGCCGCGATCTACGAGATCGTTAGCGCGGGCGGCATTGTCTACGACGTCTCTGCCGAAGATGTCCATCTTTCCGCGGGTCGTCGACGCCTCGACGCGACCGCGGACGAAAGTACCGAAGTCCGCTTTGTCGCGCGCACAGTCTACACGCTGGTTCCGGGCGAAGACGTTGTCGATGACGCCTTCAAGCGTTATATCGAAAGTCTATACATTCAAGGCGTCCAGAGCCCCCTGCTGGCCTCGATCGCGAGCGGCGACGCGCAGCGCGCGCTGGACAACCGGACCGCCGGCACGTCGATCGCGTCGGCGGTCATCGACGCGGCGTCGAGCGCCGCGCTCGTCGCCGGCGAGACGGGGGTCGCGGTCTCCGAGGCCCGCGCGACGACGGACGCGCTCGTCGTCGCGTGCCCGCCGGGGACCTACTCGACGTCCGGCGCGGCGTCCTGCACGCCGTGCCAGCCGGGGTCCTACACGGAGCTCGCGGGCCAGACGGACTGCAAGTTCGCGGAGCCGGGGTTCTTCGTCGCGGCCGCGGGCGCGTCGGCGCAGGCGCCGTGCCCGGCGGGCACGGATTCGACGTCCGCCGCCGTCGCCTGCTCGCCGTGCCGCGCGGGCTACTACAGCGATCGCACGGGCCAGCCCGAGTGCGAGCGCTGCGAGACGCCGACGACGACGCTCGACGAGGGCAAGACGTCGTGCGACGCGTGCATCGACGACTACTACCGGGACGGCGCGCTCGACGAGGCGCTCGCCGCGACGGGGTCCGCGGCCCTCGAGTGCACGGAGTGCTGCGTCAAGTGCGACGACCTCTGCACGGCGAGCGACGACGACTGCGCCAAGTGCCCCGCGGGCACGACGATCGCGACCGTCGACGCGCGGAAGAACTTCTGGCGCACGTCCGCCGCGGCGACGCACCTGTATCGGTGCGACCGCCAGGGCGCCTGCGAGGGCGGCGCGAACAGCACGTGCGCGCGGGGCCACAAGGGCGTGCGCTGCGGGACCTGCGAGGCGGGCTACTACTACGACTCCGCGCGGAACCGGTGCCAGCACTGCGGCGACAAGTTCGACCTCAGCGGCGACAACATCGTCGGCACGTGCCTCGTCGTCGCCTTCGCGCTCCTCTTCTACGCGGCGCTCCACCAGCGCTACGGCTGGAAGACCATCAAGTCCTACGTCGTCGCCTTCTTCAAGGAGTTCGACGCGCTCGACGTCTACAGCGACTCGCGGCGGCGGAAGCACGTCGACGGCAACGCGGCGGAGCGCGAGGCCGTCTCCGACAAGCGGGCGCGGAGCGCGCCCGCGGGGGGCGACGGCGCCGCAAACGACGGCGAGGCGCCGCACAGGCCCAGGTCGAGCGTCATGACCAAGTTCAAGATCGTCGTCGCGACGTACCAGATCGCGACGTCCATCCCCTGGAGCCTGCCCCAGGTCCGCCTCCCGGCGGCGCTCGAGCAGGCCATGAAGCTCGGGTCCATCGTGAACCTGAGCCTCATCTCCTTCTCCAAGGCCGAGTGCTTCGGCGACGTGACCTACTTCCACAAGCTCCTCTTCACGACGCTCTTCCCCGCCGCCGTCGTCGCGCTGATCCTGGCCGTCGCGCTCCGGCGCGGGCCGCGGATGGGCGGCGAGGAGCGGTCCAGGGCGCTCGCGGGCGCGCTCTACTGGGTCTGCTTCGCGCTCTTCATCTTCGTGCCCGGCACGTCGAGCTACGTCTTCCGCTACTTCTCCTGCGCGGGCTACGAGGGCTACGGCGGCGAGACGGACCTGCGGGTCATGCGCATCGACCCGACGATCTCCTGCGACTCGCCGGGCTACGACGCGTGGCTGCCCTACGTCGTCCTCGCCGTGCTCGCCTACCCCGTGGGCGTGCCCCTCGGCTTCGCGTGCGTGTTGTATCGTCGGCGGCGGCACATCAACCCGCCGATCCCGCGGCGGAAGACGCGCGCGGACGCGGGCGGCGACGCCGTCGCCGCGGTCGACCGGCGCCTCTTCCCGCACCTCGACAACGAGGAGGACCTCGACTTCCTCGACGCGGCCATCGAGCGGCACCGCGCGGCGCTCGAGACGCTCGAGAAGCTCGACCGGCGCGCGGAGGACCCGGCGCTCGGGCCCGTCCGCTTCCTCTACGAGGAGTTCCGGCCCGAGTGCTACGGCTTCATCGTCTTCGAGGTCACGCGGCGCATCTTCCTCACGGGCTGCCTGACCATGTTCCTCGACGGCTCCATCTCCCAGATCGCCGTCGGCCTGCTGGGCACGATGATCTCCTACCGCGTCGGCAACTACTACCGGCCCTACGTCGAGGAGGACGACAACATCGTCTTCGAGATCGCGAACACGCAGCTCGTCCTCTTCTTCTTCTACTGCGTCATGGTCTACGCGACGGAGAACCTCGAGGAGCACGACGGCGTCTTCTCGGGCAAGATCTTCGGCATCTGCCTCATCCTGCTCCTCGTCTCCATCCTCGTCGTCGCGGTCTGGCTCGTCGTCGTCTCCCACTTCGGCTCCGCGGGCGTCGGCCGCTTCTTCTCGCTGGCCAAGGACCGCCAGCGGCGGCGCGCCTCGCTCAATTCCGCGCTCGCCGCGCTCAACTCCCTGACGTCCTTCAGCTTCCGCAAGCCCAAGCCCGCCGGGGACGAGGAGCCCGTCGACGCGGGCGACGTCGCCGCGAGCGACGTCGCCGTCGACGACGCGGCGATCCCCAACCTCGGCCGCATGGCGCCGCCGCGGCTCCGGGAGCGCGACCCGGACCCCAAGCCGCGAGGCTCGGCCTAAGGACGCCCGGCGACGACGCCGCTCTCCCGGATAGGCTATCGGGCCGGGCGCGCGCGCGTCTTCTCGAGGCGCAGGAGGCGCAGGGGGAACGCGACGCCCGCCTCGACCTCGGCGTCGTAGGTGACGCGCCCCGCGCGGACCCAGCCGTGCTTCTCGTAGAAGCGGATCGCGCGCGCGTTCTCGGGAACGGCGACGAGGAAGAGCGTCGGCCCGGGCAGCCGCGCCTCGGCCGCGGCGAGCAGCGCGCCCGCGGCGCCGCCGCCGCGGGCGCGCGCGTCGACGAAGAGCTGCTCCATCTCGTTGCCGTCGGGCAGCGCGACGGCGAAGCCGACGACGCCGTCGCCGTCCGCGACGACGGTGTGCTCGACGCGCGCCGCCGCGCGCGCCGCGAAGGCGGCCAGCGTGCGCTTCTCGAGGAGCGCGGGCGGCAGCGTCGACACGTTCTGCTGGTCCTGGTAGTTCGTGTGCCAGCACCGCGCGATGGCGTCGACGTCGTCGACCGTGGCTTGGCGGATGCGCGGCGTCGCCATCGGTCGACCTTCACGCGCACGGAGCTCGACCCATTGCCACAGCCTTGGGCACAGGCCTTGCGTGAAGCAAAGTTGACGCGCAGTTGGCGTAGGAAGAACCCCGTCGCCGTAGGAAGAACCCCGTCGCCCGCAGCCTGTGCCCCAAGCGAGAGGCCCGCTCGAGTCGCAGACGCCGCCCCTGCGCGGCGCCCCGTCCGGCCAGCGGCGTCCGCGGCGGCGGCGAGGTCCCCGTTGAACTAAGGCCGCGCGCGCGGCCGCGCGGGCCCCGGACCCCCCCTCAGGACTCGCTGTCGACGGCGCGGTTCTTGCCGTGCTTGAGGACGGCGGAGTTGAGGTTCATGGTGAAGCCCTTGTCCTGCGTGGGCCCCTTGTGGAGCTTGCGGATGGACGAGACGACCTCGCGCGTCTTCTGGATGTAGAGGGAGTCGAGGTAGGTGCGGATGTCGGTCTCCATGTCCTCGATCATGGAACCGATGTTGGCGACGTGGGGGTGGGCCTCGTCGACGGCGCAGGCCTTCTCGGCCATGCGCGTGAGCGACCCGGACAGGTTCGAGTCGCCGACGGCGGGCTTGTGGACGTCCATGGAGAGCATGACCGTCGTCGTGAGCTTGTAGGTCGCCCTGCCGTCGCCGGCCTCGGCGACCTCGACGACGTGGATCGAGTCCCACGCGCCCGTGGACACGAACTCGTGGCCCGAGACGCCCTTTTTGATGAGGAAGCAGCCGGCGAAGCCGCCGTCGAGGTCCCAGAGGTAGACGGAGGACGTGCCCCCCTCGAAGTAGAGCTCGCGGTAGGCGTCGAAGAGCGCGTTGGCCTCGACCTCGAGGGCCCGCAGCTTCGCCGACGGCACGAAGCCGTCGTCGAGCGGCGGCTCGTACGCGTTCGACCACGGGCTCCGGTACGAGTCGCCGTCGCGGTTGTAGTCGCAGAGCAGGTACTTGCGCCCGCTCTCGGCGCAGGTCGCCTCCTCGAGGGGCTGGTCCACGCGCTGGAGCAGCTCGTCCGTGTGCTCGGGCACGAGGTTCAGCAACCCGCTCAGGTTGTGCTCGATCTTGTTCGGGGGCATGCGGCGCATGATCGACAACGCGCAGGAGATGGGGTCCTTCTTGGCGTCGCCCATGGCGGCGGTAAGCGCCGGCGCGGAAGCTCCGGGCGGCCGGCGGGCGCTCCACGCAGAGGCGGCGCCGGCGGCGCGAGCTCGTGTGGTTGGCTGCGCGCCGATTGCGCGAGCCCGGCGTCCCGAGGAGGCTGCCCCTGGCCGCGGCCGACGACATGGTGCGCGCGCTCCTCGCCTGCGCCCTCTGCGTGGCGTCGGCGCAGGGCTGGCTGCTCTGGCTCCTGGGCATGGAGAACGAGCCGAGCGCGGTCCTCGACGTGAAGAGCGCCGACGCCTTCGACTCCGTCGTGCGCTTCGGCGGCCGCAACGCCTTCGTCAAGTTCTACGCGCCCTGGTGCAAGCACTGCCAGCGCCTCGCGCTGCCCTGGGAGCGCCTGGCGAAGCAGCTCCAGGGCCGCCACGTCATCGCCGAGGTGCGCGCCCGCGGCCGGGGGCGCCGGCGGGAGCCGTGTCGCGGTAGGTCGACTGCGCCGCCGAGGGCTCGCGCGACCTCTGCGCGTACTACGGCGTGCGCCAGCTGCCGACGCTCAAGGCCTTCTCGCCGCGCGCGCCCCTCAACGGCAGCCTCTACGACGGCGCCCTCACCTACGAGGCCGTCGCGGCCTACGCGAAGGAGGCCCTCGAGCCCGCGTGCGACGACGACCGCGAGTGCGCGGCCGTCGAGGCCTTCGGGCGCGAGGTCAACGCCATGGACGCGTCGGCCCAGGCGGCGGCCCTCGCGGCCCTCGAGGCGGAGTACGACGCGTCCCTCGCCGCCGAGGCCGCCGCGGTCGCCGCGGCCGAGGCCGCGCACGCGGCGACCAAGGCCCGCGTCGAGCCCAAGATGCACCTCCTGCGCACGTCCCTCACGGCGCGGCGCCTCCAGCGGCGGCGGCTGCCGGAGGAGCGCGAGGGGGAGCTGTAAGGCGATATTGCGCGTCGCTTCAACATCGCGGCTACTCTAACCTTGCCTTGCATTGCAGAGCGACGGACGAGACGATGGCACGTCCCACTCTCTTGCTCGTCATCGCGTGCGCCTCGTTCGCGTCGGCGTTCCAGCCGCCCGCGGGCGCGCGCGTCGGGCGCTCCGCGCCGCGCGCGTCCAGCCCCCTGTGCGCGAAGAAGAAGAAGGGCGACACGGTGGCCAAGCCCGTGCGCGAGCGCAAGGTCAAGGAGGACAAGATCGAGGTCGACGGTCCGTGCGCCCGCGTCCCGCGCGCCGCGCGCCGCTCCATCGCCGCCCGCCGCAGGCGTCGTCAAGGAGGCGCTGCCCAACGCCATGTTCCGCGTCGAGATCGGCGTGACCAAGTCGGCGCGGCGCCGGCGCGGCGACGGCGCGCGCGCCGCGGGGCCGACCGCCCCCGCCCGCAGGTGCTGCTGTGCACGATCTCCGGCAAGATCCGCAAGAACTTCGTCAAGATCCTCGTCGGGGACTCGGTCAAGGTCGAGCTGTCGCCCTACGACCTCACGCGCGGGCGGATCACGTTCCGCGAGAGAAACTAGGCCGCCTTCTCTCGCTCCGCGCGCGCGGCGGCGGGCGTAACGGCTCTCCCGGTCGCGCGGGCGGGGAGGCCTCAGGGCCCCGCGGCGTTGAAGTTCTGGAGGATGTGCTCCTGGGCGAGGCGCTCGCCGTCGATGACGGACCGCCGCTTGCGGAGCTGGTCCTCGCGCGCGGCGAGCTCCGCGTCGGCGACGCGGAGCGCGTCGACGGCCTTGGGCTCGAGGTCGCGGGCGACGCGCTCGCGGTGGCACTCGAGCTCGGCCTGGACGCGGAGGTCGAGGTCGCGGAGGAGCGTCGCCGTGGGCCCGCCGAGCGCGTCGTCCTCGCCGAGCTCCGCTTCCAATTTGCGCGCGTCGCGCGCGGCGAGCTTCCCGCCGACGAGGAGGAGGTGCTCGGGGCAGATGCCGTGGGCGTTGGCCGGCGCGCCGTCGGGGAGCGCGAGGACGCCGCCGCCCGCGCGCGCCGCGCCCGCGGCGCCCGCCGCGGCCGCGGGCTCCGCGGCGTCCGCGGGCGCGAGGAACTCGCGGCAGAGCACGAGCAGCGCGAGGCGGCCCACGGCGTCGTCGCGCGCGTCCAGCGCCCGCTCGTCCTCGCGGAGCTCGCGCCAGAGCTGGTCCGGGTCGTCGTCCGCGGCGTCGTCGTCGTCGCTCGACGAGTCGCAGCCGCCGCGGAGGCACGCCTCGGCCGCGCGCGCGGTCGCGAAGACGTCCTCGTCGGCGACGAACTCGTCGCTGTCGTAGTCGTCGTGCACCAGCGTCCGGCGCCGCTCGTCGACCGCGCGCGCGGCCGACGCGTGGAGCTCGACGGGCCGTTTCAGGTCGCCGCGGAGCAGGTCCTCGACGTCGCGCGGCGACCCCGCGAAGAACCAGCGCCGCCCCGGGGGCGCCGCCGTCGAGTCCTCGGGCGCGTCGCCCTCGCGGCGGAGCCGGAGCACGCGGTAGGCCCGGAGCAGCGACAGCTGGTCCGCCGGCGGCCGCGCGGGGCCGCCCGCGCGGTCGCCGACGCGCGCGTCGATCCACCGGAAGTCCGGGCTGTGCTCGCCCAAAAGCTGGCAGGCGACGCGCGCCGGCGGCGCCATGGTGAAGGACGGCGGCGGGCCGCCGTCGACGCGCGGGCCGCCGTACTGGAGCGACGCGACGACGAGCGCCGCGCGCCGCTCGCCTTTCGCGCGGCGCTCGAGGGCGTCGAGCGCCGCGCCGTCGCGCCGGCCCCGGTCCTCGGCGGCCTTGGCGGCGTCGCCGCAGGCCTGGACGTGCTTCGCGAGCGCGGACGCGAGCGCGGCGTCGAGCGCCTTCTGCGAGAGCGCGCGCGCGTTCCGGTGCCGCGCGTGCTCCTCGACGATGCCCCGGCGGCCGTCGTCGACGAGCGCCTCGAGCTGGGCGAAGGCGCCGCGCATCTCCGCGTCGAGCGCGCGCGCGTGCGCCGTCGACCGCTTCCGCCGCGCCTCGATCGCCGCCGCGTCGCGCCGGTGCTCGCGCGCGAGCGCGTCGACGCGCTCGTTGAACTCCAAAACGTGCTCGAGGTGGGCGTCGCGCGCCGCCGCGCGGTCCTGGCGCGTCACCTCCGCGCCGTCGAGCTTGGTCACGTGGCGCAGCGCGCAGAGCACCGCGTCGCGGTAGCCGTCGCGCGACGCCACGGGGCACGCCCCGAAGTGGGCGTCCTTGAAGGACGCCGACTCGAGCGACGGCAGCCGCGCGAGGCGCGGCAGGTCCCGGTAGTCCGCGACGCGGTTCCCGCCGAGCTGCAAATCCCGCAACGACACGAGCGCCTCCATGCCCCCGAGGCGGCTCAGCCGGTTCTCCTGGAGCCAGAGCTCGCGCAGCTCGCCGAGCTCCGCGACGCCCTCGACGCGGGCGATGCGGTTGCTGAAGAGCCACAGACTCCGGAGCCGCGGGCACTCGTCCAAGCCCTCGAGCTTGCCGATCGCGTTCTGCTGCGCGTAGAGCCAGCGCAGCTGGGGCAGCGACCCCAGGCCCCGAAGGTGCGTGAGCCGCTGGTCCGCGACGCACAGGCGCTCCAGCGTCTGCGAGATGGGCCGCAGGCTCCCGATGGCCTCGAGGCCGCAGTCGATGAGGCTCAGCCGCCGCAGCCGCGCGCAGCGGCCCAAACCGCTCCGGTACCGGTCGTCGTCGTCGCCGCCGAGCGAGATGACCTTGAGGGACGCGAAGATGATCTCGAGCTCGTCGAGGCAGTTGTGCTCCTCGACGCCCACGCCCGTCGTCTCCTCGATGAGCGCGCTCGTGATGCACTCCTCCTTGGGCGTCTCCGCGGCGCCCATGGCTGAGCGGTGGCGCCGCGGCGCGCTAGAGGCTTTACGGTCTTATTGATTGGTCGGCGCGGGGCCAAACAGCTGGGCCAGTTTCAGCTCGCTAACAATTTGCCACAAGAGCAGATCAAGAGCAAGCTCTTGCCCATGTCCGCTCGACAGCTTTGAAATCTAAAATCGCCTGCAGCGTCGTCCCGAAGTTGAGAACATGGCCGCAATGGCAGACCTCGTTGCCGAGGCGCAGGAGCGCACCAAGGGCTACCTGCCGACGATCCAGGCGGCGCTCGACGCGCAGCGCGCCGCCGGCGCCGGCACGGCGCCGCCGCTCATCGCCGACGCCACGGTCTACAACGGCAAGGTCCGCGACGTCTACTCGCCGGCCTGCGCGCCGCGGCACGTCGTGCTCTGCGCCACGGGCCGCCAGAGCGCCTTCGACCGCGCCCTCGCCGTCGTGCCCTTCAAGGGCAGCGTGCTCAACCAGGTGTCCGCGTGGTGGTTCGCGGAGACGCGGTCGATCACGCCGAACCACGTCGTCGCCGCGCCTCTGCCGGACTGCGTCGTCGCCAAGAAGTGCCGGGCCTTCCCCATCGAGTTCGTCGTGCGCGGCTACATCACGGGCTCGACGTCGACGTCCATGTGGACCCACTACAAGGGCGGCGCGCGCGTCTACTGCGGCATCGAGCTGCCCGACGGCCTCGAGAAGAACGCGAAGCTCGCGAAACCGCTCTGCACGCCGACGACCAAGGACGTCGAGCACGACGTGCCCATCTCGCCCGCCGACATCGTCGCGTCTGGCCGCATGACCCAGGCCGAGTGGGACCACTGCTCCGCGACGGCCTTGGCCGTCTTCGCGCGGGGCCAGGCGGTCGCGGCGTCGCGGGGCCTCATCCTCGTCGACACCAAGTACGAGTTCGGCGTCGACGACGACGGCACCATCCTCCTCATCGACGAGGTCCAGACGCCCGACTCGAGCCGCTACTGGCTCGCCGCGTCGTACGAGGCGCGCGTCGCCGCCAAGCAGGAGCCGGAGAACATCGACAAGGAGTTCCTCCGCCTCTGGTACCGCGAGCGCTGCGACCCCTACAAGGACGCCGTCATCCCCGACGCGCCCGACGACCTCGTCTGCGAGCTCTCCCGGCGCTACATCCTCCTCTTCGAGCTCATCACGGGCCAGCGCTTCGACTTCGCGGCGGCGGCCGCGAAGACGGACCGCGCCGCGGTCATGGCCGCCGCGCTCGCCAAGCTCGCGTAGAAAAAGGCGCCCACTAAGCTAAGCGACGGCCATGGGGTTCGGCGCGCCGCCGGCGACGGGGCCGGACGCGCGCGGCGTCGCCCACCGGATGTCGTGCATGTCGACGGTCGGGGACGCGGCGTCCTTCGTTGGATGGGCCGCGGCCGGCTCGCGCGGGGAGCGGCGCCGCGCCGCGACGTAGGCGCCGCCGGCGACGAGGCACAGGGCGACGGCCGTGGCGCAGCCGATGCCGACGAGCACGACCGCGTCGTCGTCGTCGTCGTCGTCGTCGTCGCTCGAGTAGGTCGTCGGGTCGCCCGCGTTCGCGGGCCGCGCGGCGCCGACGGGCACGCAGCACGTGCGGTGGTGGAGCTCGCTGTAGGCCTCGCAGGTGCTCCGGTCGGAGCTGAGGTCCCAGAAATAGTCGTAGCCGTCCGCGCAGTACGTCGAAGAGCCGAGCGCGTCGATGCCGCAGCAGTCGGTGTCGAGGCCGTCGGAGTAGCCCGTGTCCTCGCGGCACGCGGAGGCGACGCAGCCGTCATCGTCGCTGGCATCGTCGTCGGACGTCGGCGCCGCCGTCGGCCGCGGCGTCGGTGCTACCGTCGTAGGCGCCGCGCTGGGCGACGCGCCACGACGGCGCCGCGGTGACCGCGCCGTACGTACGAGAATAGTAGACCATGCCGTAGCGCGAGGTCCCGATGCGCCCGTCGCAGGCCTTGGCGACGCAGCGGCCGAGCTGCGTGCTCGCGTACTGGCCCGGGTTCCAGACGAAGTTGAACCCGCAGCAGCCGAGCGTCGCCTCGCACGCCGCGGCGCACGCCTCGACGGTGGTCGAGCAGTCCGCGTCGAAGAGGACGCCGACGTCCGTGCCCTCGATTTTATCGAACATGATGTCCTGGTCGTCGTCGCAGGGCATCGTCTCGCACTCGATGAAATAGCCCGCCGGCTCGGCCGGCACGACGTCTGCGGTGCAAGGGCTCAGGTATTTGCATTCGAGGGCGCTGTTCGTGTCCGCGTTGGCGCTGGAGGCGCAGATGTTGTCCGCGGCGGCTTGTCGCAGGAGCAGGAGTGCGAGCAGCAGCCGCGGCATCCCAGATGCCAGCTTTAGACACCTAGCTAAGTGGGGCAACTTGAGCTTATTGAAGAGTGTTGCCCGCGCGTTGAACCCGGCCGCCAAGCGCGGCGCGCGGCTTCAGCACGGTACGGCGCTCTAGAAGCGCGCCGTCGCGGCGCTACAGATCCACATAATCACCATGCAAACGGGCGCTCTTCAGGCCTGGCGCGACGAGGGCCTGCGCCTCCTCTCAACACTGAATGCGCCGGCCGCGCCCAGCGCCGAGGTCGCGGCATTGATCGATCAGACGCGGGACGCGATGGCGCAGCTCGATGACGGCCGCAACAAGCGCCCGCGTACCCGGTCGCGCCGTACGCTGTCGCGCTCCGCGACGCAGACGGCCCTAAATCTCGCGAGCGCGTTCCTCGCGCCTGCGGGTCTCGACGCGCTCGGCGCGTGCTCCCGCGCGATGAAGAAACTCGCCGGCTCGGAGCTCCTGTGGAACGCGCTCACGGCGCGACGGTTTCCCGAGGCCGCGCATCTGCGCGAGGTCGGCGGCGCGTGCGCGCTCGCGGGCCGGCGCGAGTACCGGCGGATGGAGAGACTCTGGAATCCCGAGCCTTACGAGTACGGCGCCACCCCTCAAATCAATGCGTACTCCGCGCTTGTCGTGATGAAACATTTCGATCGCACGCTCATCAATGGTATCTTTGCGATGACGAAGCATAATCGAAATGAATTCATGATCGATGTGGCGTCGCCTCCTTCTTTTTCGGATTGCAGCGTCAGGATTGATCTCCCAGAGGGGCGAGAAGCAGGTTCCGGCTTATCTGTTTCTGTGTTTCTGATCCGAAAGCATGATGGGAAAGTCCGACATCTTGTCGACAACGCAGTTCCGGACGGCAATAACGTCGAAGGTCAAGACTTTGTTTTCGTGATGCCTGTAGATCTCATGAAAGGTACCGCGCGGCTTCCTACGCTCTGTTTGAACTCAGAATTCGTTGAACAAAGCCATAGTAACTGGACCGGCCACCACATGAACCATGTCTATTGTAACATCGAGCGTCCCAGCTTCGATGAGACCGGAGGAGTCCTGGTCAGTTTCAATGGGATAAGCATCGCCTACGAAGGAACGGGGGAATCCAATTTCACTACAAGGGCCACGACTCGCGCGATCCTCGAGGCCTGGCGCTTTAGCCACGACCAGGACGACGGCTGGATCTAGTGGGTAAGCCCAGCCTTGTGTTCGTGACCAAGATGCCCGGCCGAACTTAAAAATCCCAACTCGAGGTTTTTACGCCCCGAATGCGGCCAGCGCCCTCGCCGACATGGCGGCCTTGGCGGCGGCCTTCAATTTGTCGACGGGCTTGCGTGGTCGCCCGATCTCCGGGAGGTCGGGCCGCGCGATCTGCGCGAGGGCCGTCCACTTGGCCGCCTGCTCCTTCGAGAGGAACTTGGACACGTCGATCTGCTTCGCCTTCGTGCGGAAGACGCCCCCCGTCGAGATGGCCAGGTTCTGGAGGAGGTAGGGGAGCATGAGCTCGAGCTTGTCGCTCAGCGGCTGGTCCGGGTCCTCGTCCATGAGCTCGTGGATGCGCTCGCGGTCGTCCGCGGACTTGGCCTCGAGCTTGAGGTTGACGATGCGCTCGTAGAACTCGGAGACCTCCGCGACGCCGACCTGCTTGAGGGCCGCCTTCGTCGGCACGGGCGTGTAGTCGAGGACGTGGCCGATGGCCTCGAGGAAGCTCACGAAGTCGCAGAGGTTGTATTTGAACGTCGTGTCGTCGACCCAGCGCATGCGCGCGACGACGAAGGCCTTGACGCACTCCGCGATGGTCGTCTCCGAGGTCCGGAGGCCCACCCGTTCCAGAAAGTCGAGCCACATGTCCATGTTGAACGTCGGCCGCCCCGCGTCCGGCGCGACCATCGACAAAGCCGAGTGCAGGTCCATCCACATCTTCTTCTGGAGCGAGAAGGCGTCGCAGCAGGGCTCCTTGTAGAGCTGGTCCCGGCGCCAGGCGTCCGTGTCGTCGCGGCACTCCGCCGGGAGCGCGCCGAGCTTGTTTTTCTCAAAGTCGGCGAACGCGGCGTCGATGCCCGGCGTCGGGTCGTCGTCGTCGGTCCACGTGCGCCGCTCGAGGTCGTAGGCCGCGGCGACGACGCGGATCACGGCCTCGACGAACTCGAAGCGCATGAGCGAGTTGTTGTCGTTGGCCTTGGCGAGGTCCTTGGCCTGGCCGACCTCGACGTTGACCTGCACGAAGATGCCCTGGAGGACCTGGTCCGTGAGCGTATTTCCCTCGCCGTCGCCCCGCAGCTTGGCGTCCTCGGCGAAGGAGATCCAGGACGCCATGGAGATGTCGAAGGGGTCGAGCTCCGTCATGATGCTGTACTGGTCGAACGTGTGGCAGAGGACGCGGTAGACCTTCGCGAGGCCGTCGGCGAACGCTTTCTCCGCCTTTTCGCCGCCGAGGCGCTTCATGAGGTTCTCGAAGCGCGTCAGGGCCTTGAGGCGCTTCATGTCCGCGGCCAACAACTTCTTGTAGAGCTTCTCCGGGTTGTAGAAGCCCCGCGAGTCCGCCTCCTTGCGGCGCGGCGCGAAGATGGACGTCTCGAGCCGCCAGGCCGACGCCGGCGCCTCCTCCTTCTTGGGCGCCTCGACGGCCTTGACCTTCTTCGTCGCCAGGGCCTTGGGCCGGGGGATGAGGTGGGCGCTGAGGAGCAGCTTGAAGGCCGGGAGCTCGCCCCAGGGGAGCCTCCGCGCCTCCGCGGCGTCGACCTTGGCGTAGACGTCGAGGACGTGGGCCCGGCAGGTCGGGCAGGGCACGCGGGGCGCCAGGGGCTCGTCGAAGGGCGCGCGCGGCGGCACGGGCATGACGAGCGGGTCCAGCGGCGGCTCGCAGGGCCGCCGCGCGTCCCACGGCGGCGCGCGGACCGGCGACGGCCACGGCCCCGGGTCCAGCACCTGGGGCTTGTAGAGGCTCGACTGGCAGAGGTGGTAGTCGCTCTTCTCCGACGCGACGGACGCCGCGTCGTCGTCGGCCTTGTGGCGGTGGTGGTGCCTGTGGACCTTCTTCTCCGCGTGGGCCTTTTTGGGTTGCTTGGGGAACTCGTAGGTCGGGAAGAGGTCGCGCATGCAGGAGCCGCGCACGGACTTGAAGGCGAAGAGGCGCGTGTCCGGCGCGCCGGACGTCGCCGGCCGCTCGTAGGGCGCGGGCGCGCGGTCGCGGAACGTGAACGTCGTCCTCCCGCCCGCCGCGGGCGCGAGGACGACGGCCTTGGCGAGGCTCGCGCGCCGCCGCGTCGCGTCGACGTCGGGCGCCCAGGTCGTCGGGTCGACGTGGCCCTCGATGATGCCGGACACGGACGGCGCGGTCGCCGCGGGCGCCGTCGCGGGCCGCGCCGCGGGCCCGCGGCGCGCGCCGGGCGTCTTCGGCCGCGTCCAGACGTCGGCGCCGCTTTGGGTGGATGGCGTCGCCGGACTCGCCTCCATGCGCGCCCGGCTCCCGGGCCGGGGCCCCGCGGGCGTCGCCATGCGCTCGTAGAGGTCCACGCGGCGGTCGTGGCATTCCGCGCGCGACCGCGCGAGCCGCTCGCGGAGCTTCGACGACCCGCCCGGCGCGAAGGTCCCGTCGAGGGACGCCCAGGTCGACACGTGGGTCTGGGTCTCCTGAAACGGCTTCGCCGGCGCCGTCGTCGGCCGCAGCGACAGCTCGTCGCGGAGGCCGTACTCCGCGTCGGCGATCGACGCCGCCGTGGCCGGCCCCGCGCCGAAGTGGTCGAGCACGCGCCGCGCGAAGACGGGCGTCTTGAGCCGCGTGCTCAGCGTGCCCGCGGCCACGCGCCGCGCGCCCGCGGGGCTCGCGAGCGCCTCGCGGCGCCGGACCTCTTCTCCGTACTCGCCGCGCGACCGCGTCGTGCCCGCGCGGCTGTGGAAGAGGCTCGTGGACCGCAGGTGCACGAGGTT